GCTACCTAAGTTTAGCCCTTTGATATAATGAGTTTGGGATCCCAAGATTTGATTTTTTTTCATATGTGCAAAGTGTGATTGTCTACACACTATTATTATTCTTCTAAGTGGATGAAATACTCTGGAAAAGCATCCAGTCAGCCATCTTGAAAAAAACAACTCTTGTTTCTTTGGAATATTGCCTTAGAAATCTGAGAGGTGTCCAGTGAAGGACAGCATATGGTTATCAGTCTAGAGAAAGTGCTCAGAGAACTTGGAAAATTTGAAAAAATAGAAGATGCTTCGGGAGAAGTGAGAAAATTGAGAAAAATGCAAAAGATGTGTTCTTGATGTGTTTAGCTGTTATCATTATCATTACCATTGCTAAATGATACTTTCCAATTAGCAAAAAAGTATGCTGGAGGCTATTGGTTTTACGTGGGCATCAGTCACACTTTGACAAAAAAAGAAATGCTTGCAAAGAGCAAGCCATAGAAGGCGAGTTAGGAAATGATACATATGTTTATCTATATTTATTTTATTGAATCAACACTGACAGCAGAAATACCCAACATTAATTAAATACTTCCATGTATTAGAGACTAAGCAAAAAATTAAAATAGTATATTATTTAATCATCTGATCAATTAATTCTTTCCACTTTATTGATGAGTAAAGGAAGCTATACATATCTTAATCAACTTGCTGAGGGTTACCTACTAATAAATAAAAGAGAGGAGATTCAGATTCAAACAGAATTCTGAAGCTAGAGCTTGTGTTCTTATCACCTTTTTGCAGCTCCTGCGTGTGTGTGAGTGAGAATGAGGGTGAGAAAGAGGAATATCTACATTCTTATTTATACCTATGTGGATGATCATGTGTAATACTCACTTTTCTACTAATGCTTCTAGTAAATGCCAGTCTCTATGAGTAACTTATTTAGTTTTTCAGTTAGTTATATATATTATTGATTGCATATAACTTGATAATGACTGCAATCATAAAGAAACACATTCTTTTGAAATGTCATGGGCAGGAAAGATAGAAACTCCAGTATAAGAAATCCAGTGTCAATTATTTTAGATGATTACCTTGAAAGTAGATCTTTAAAGTACTTAAGCTATAGTCACTTTTCACTAAATTTGTGATAAAGGATCACCTGCTTTTTATGCAGTTTCTCCTTGTCCCACTCATCCACTCTTAGCTGTCTAAGGTTAGAGTCCATGCTGCCTCCTTCTTACATGAAACCCTCCAATAGCTTTGCCTGGCAGGTGCATTCTGTGAATTTCATAGCAGGATCACCTGGTCTTCTTCATGCATGCACCTGATCGTTCTGCACTTGTCTTTAAGTGCTTGATGGTACTACGCTCTCTCCCTACAATACAACTTACCCCTCCTACTTTCCCTCAAGATGATTATCACTCCTTATTCTGTTCCTTAGCATGTTACCTCTATAGCACTCTCACATGCTCATTATTTTAACATATTTCTCTCTCTCACTAAACCAAGACCTGGATGCTCACATGCCATTTGTGGTGTCAGTAAGTTCATGAGAAGTATCTTATAAATAACAACATCAAATGACAGCAAGTATTCAGAGATGCTGAAACTATATTTGCAGAGTTGAATAGAGGATACTTTGTCTGAGAGAGTCACCAGTTGGGTAATATAATAGAAAATCTTAAACTGAGTTTTTTAAAGAGTAAATGAGTAAAGCTTTGCCAAGAGAATGGAAAATCTTATATGAAGGCCATTTTAAGATCCTGTTGCTACATGGAATTTATGAAAAGGAAAAAAATACCAAAATGTTCTGACCAATAATGACATTAGATAACTTTTTTATTATGAGGAAGACTAAGACCAATTTAATAAACCATAACATTGGCAAAGTTTCTGGAAACTGCAATGTTGACTTATAGTTTTTCTTCCAATGTTATCAATTTATAAGATAATGTAGATGTTGAAATACCTGCAGTATAAAGAAAGGGTGTAATACAATTTTTGCTATGGTAGCTTGTCATTTTACTGTGTTCAAGTCCAAAATGTATAACCAGATTATCATCCCATGTCCTTCCCTGGCTTCCACTCTTAATGTTTCTGCCAGCTTTTATTTGAATTTCTGGAATGCCCCGCTTTCTCTTACTTCAGGCCCCAGCCAGCTCCATCCACTCTCTGGAAAGAACACCCTTTATCTACTCTTTATCGTTAATCTTCTAGTTGTTTCTGACTACTGTTTAAAATTTACTTCCTAGAGAACGTTTCTCTTGCTTTTCAATCTATTGTGATATAATATCCCATTCTTATTATTATATATATTTTGAGATGGAGTTTCACTCTTGTTGGCCAGGCTGGAGTGCAGTGGCCCAATACCAGCTCACTGCAACCTCCCTATTCCAGGTACAAGCAATTCTCCTGCCTCAGCCTCCCACATAGCTGGGACACATGCCACCACACCTGGCTAATTTTTGTATTTTTAGTAGAAACGAGGTTTTACCATATTGGACAGGCTGGTCTGGAACTTCTGACCTCAGGTGATTCACTTGACTCGGCCTCCCAAAGGTCTGGGATTACAGATGTGAGCCATCACGCCCAGCCTCTTATTTTTTTTTTACATAATGGCACTTATAATAATTTGTACAAGCATGTTTACTTGTGTGGTTATTGTCTGTCACTGTTGTCCCTCTAGACATTATAATCCCAAAATTGCTAAAAAGTATTTACAATCAGTTTATCATTGGACCATACTCACAAAAATATTATGTTTTTATTTTTTCTCCCTTCAGAGAGTAGGAAAATCAATAAGCACAGTGTTTATCATCCTTTTAGCTCTCTGAGCATCTACTGGCAGCAAGGGTCGGAGTTAAATTCTACAACCCTGAGAGTAACTGCCTTCCATTAACTCTCTTCCAATGATTATAAGAATGCAAGCAGGAAATAAAGAAAATATTATTTTTAAAACACTTGCCAAAGCAGAGAATTCCATCTAACATTTTGGGTGTTTAATAATTATACACTTATATCCCTCCTTATGAGAAATGATTAAAGATACCAGTGATTAACCCTGTGACAATTTTCAGTACACTACGTACATACAGGATATATATTTTCATGAGTCATTTAACAATGAAGATGTATTCCAGGGAGTGCCTCTCAGTTAGATGATTCCACTATTGTATGAACACCACAGAACTTGCTTACACAACCTGAGACAGCATACCCTACTGTGCAGCTATGTTACACAGTATACCTATTGCTCGTAGGCTACACACCTGTATAGCATGTAACTGTACTGAATACTGCAGGCAAAAGTAGCACAATGGTAAGTAGTTGTTTAAACACATCTACACACCGAAAAAGTAAAGTAAAAATACAGCTTAAAAGATTTTAAAAAGTGGCACACAGGTACCGGACACTTACCATGAATGGACCTTGCAGGATGGAAGTTACTCTGGTTGAGTCAGTGAGTGAGTGCTGAATGAATGTGAAGGCCTAGGGCATTACTGTGCAGCACTATAGGCTTTACAAATACTGAACACTTAGGCTACACTACATTTATAAAAAGTGTTTTTCTTTCTTTGATAATAAATTAACCTTAGCTCACTATAACAGTTTTTACTTTACAAACTTATTTTTTTAAACTTTGGACTTTTTGTAAAAATGCTTAGCTTAGTTATGCAGCTGTAAGAAATTATTCTATATTCTTATTCTGTTATGCTATGTGTTTTTTCTACTTTTAAATTCATAATTTTTTCTTTTTTTTTTTTAATATTTTTGTTAAAAACTAAGACAGAAACACACACATTAGCCTAGGCCTACGCAGAGAGAGTCAGGATATCCAATATCACCTCTTCCACCATCACATCTTGTCCCACTGGAAGGTCTTCAGGGACAATAACATGCATGGAGTTGTCATCTCCTCTGACAACAATGCCTTCTGGATACCTTTGGAAGGACCTGCCTGAGGTGTTTATAGTTAACTATTTATTTTTAATAATTAGAAGGAGTACACTAAAAAATCAATAAAAGTTTAATACAGTAAATACATAAACCAGTAACATAGTCTTTCTTATTATTAAGTATTATGTACAATACATCATAATTGTATGTGCTAGCCTTATACAACTGTCAGCACAGCAGGTTTGTTTACACCAGCATGACCACACACACATGAGTAATGCATTGTTCTATGACATTACAATGGCTATGGCATTGGTAGTGCATGGGAAGTTTTCAGCTCCATTATAGCCTTACAGGATCACCATTTCATATGCAGTTCATCATTAACCCAAACGTCCTTATGTGACACATGACTGTATTTAAAATGCTATCTCTGACATGCTGTACTGGGTTACTCCGTTTCATAAATTATTTGCTTCACTGCTTTTTCTCATGTTAACATCTCTTAAATTGGAATACATATAAATTTGTGAACAGTTTAGCTGAAAAATTCTGGTAAAACCAAGAAATTGCTAGCATCAAAGTTGTCTTTTTGATACAATAAAATATAGTTACACAAGTAAGGTAAATATGCATTGTCTTTTTAAGCAATATGGCTGTAGACAAGTTAGGCTCATTTCTTTATTCATTTCTCATGGAGAAGAATATTTTAGCTTACTTATAAAGTTCTTCAAATTTGCAAACATGTACATAAGCATTATTTGATTTCAACATCATAATGGTTATGTAAGGTAGGGAGGAGATAGTGTGTCAGCCCTTTGTACGGTAATAAACCAAAGCTCGTATGTTAAATACTTTGGTGGTTATACTGTTTGTAAGAGTTAATGTCAGAAACCCTAAAATCTATTTTACGGACATGTTTCAGTGTAAAGACTGAGGTCTCATGTGCTAGTTATTGGCTTTGAAGCCTGGAGTTCTGGAATAAATTTTAATGAAGACTTGGTGAAGTCACACAATGTTAATCTTTTTAACTGTGGCTTCCGTGCCTTGCTGCAGTCAGGAATGGCCAGGTTAGCAATATGCAGTGATGTGTACCAGCCTGTGTAACTCCAGGTTTTCACCAGGACAGTGACCTGCTGGACCGACGGAAACACTGCTTCACCGTGCAGTCGGAGTCTGGGGAGGACCTGTACTTCTCAGTGGAGCTGGAAAGTGACCTCGCCCAGTGGGAAAGAGCCTTCCAGACAGCAACCTTTCTAGAAGTAGAACGGATACAGGTGAGAGTCTGTAGGACCACGGGATCTGTGCCTCTCTCAAATGCATGACAATTCATTCCAAAGTAGTATGAAAATACAGTTCTGGGAGTCTTGACCTCCTCAAAGACATTCAGTCATTAGCCATTTTTGTTTAGTGATTAGCAATACAGCTCTGAATAAAATTTTAAGTTTTCCACAACTTGATCATTCCAGGCTATTTCCTACTGCTAATCAAAAATATATTTCTAATTTTAATTAGACATTGCTCTGAATTCAATCTCATATAGAAAATGCTCTGATTTAATTAATTGTTGACAGGGTCACTTCTGGTTTTCCAAATATGACCTCCTCATTTCCAGCCTGTTGGCTTCATTTACTCACAATGCTCTTTCTTCTAGAAAGCCTTACCTTTGTCTTTGTCATTCAAAGCCACAAAGAGTTTTTGAAACTTGTTTCTAAAGGTCATATCATCCAGGAACACATTCCTGATTTCCAGTCTACCCTGCCCAATGCTTGCCAATACTCCACTTACAACTATCCTGTTCAAACAAGGCTCTTCTTCTCACTTTTGAATACAATATAACCTACTTGCCTGTTTTTTTAAGGATTGCTCACACTCAGTCTATGTTGTATTGGAGTGACATGCGCTTATCATCCTCTGCACTAAATTATCAGCTGTTTGAAATTGTCTTATTAATATGCCAACCAAAGTCCAATTCATTTTACGCATCATGAGTATTCAACAGATATTTATTGAGCTTTGTTTCTTAAATGTGATGTTACACCTAGATCAAATTTATAGAGCCCTCAGAGTCAATTATTCACAAGACTATTGAATGAAACAGTCTCCCAAAGCTGGTTCTGTGACTGACCTCAAATAGACCTGTGAACAAATGGAAAGGTTATCATGTGCTTGCCGCATGCAAATGGATCCATAAAGCAAGGATCTAAATACACACATGGACGCCTAAGTTTGAAAACAAATATGGCATTGACTATACTGTTGTGTTTGCCTAAGACAGGATTGTTGGATACATGTTTTTTCAACATGTTGAACTGATTTCTATCCTCTGACTACAAACCTATGTAGTCAACACATCAATCGTACCAGTATGACATTATAATCAGGGGAAGAGGACAGGGAGAAAACTCCAATTACAGTTTATCAAATTGTTTACTTGGCTCTTTTCAATAACTCTGCTTTTATCTTCAAGTATCTAAAAAGCCTTAAATAGGTAAAAAAAAATTCTACAATTTAACTCATAGAATTTCAAAAAATAGATATTATAATATCAAAATATATTAAATATGATTTTATCTCAAGTCAACGTCCAAGACCATTTAAAGTATTAAAATATAATTTAATTGACTGTAGTTTAATTTAATTTGTTCTTTAAAATTGATATTTTTAGGATTTTTAAATTATTATTTCTCTACAATAGTTCATTTCACTTGGAAGCAACTACATGATAATTTTAACATTTTGGTTCCAATTTAGTACTTTTTTAAGTTTCCTGATATTTATAAACCAGATAGAGATAAAATCTTTGAATCTGGGCCTTGTATTCTGTAAACTTACATCCAAAAAATACACTGCACTATCTCCTTACCCATTCCCAGTGGCAATTTAAGATAAGTGTCAGAAGTGAAAAATAACATACTTAATGCCTTTTTAGCTTTCAGTTGCTCTACATATTTTATAACTCCCTTTTGTTTATTGTATAAGAAATCAATGGCTGAACACTTTCGTAGTGTTATTTTCAAAATTCAAGTATTTGAATATATTTACATGAAGAACGTTACTTGTTGGTTGGTAGGAAATTAAAGAAAGAACATATGTTCTATTGTAAAACAGGCAGAAAAAAAAATCAATCAATTGACTTTTAAAGTGTTTCTCATTTGAACTTCCTTAAAAAGGTTAATGCATTTATTGATTTTTCTCTGGATAATGTTTTTAATGAAACAAATTAAACAACAAATTAAATATTTCAATATTAAACCTTTGTTATGTATATTCATGATATGCTATTAACATTATAAATTACAGAACTTGACACTATATAAATTGAAACTTCAGTGAGTCTCAATTTATGTCACATCTATTCGTTTCAATTTAATGATTATTGAGAAAATCTAATTTGTGATGCTGAACTTAATAGAAAAATTTTAATGCACTGCACCGAATTTGTTTTCACCTGACATTTTCTTGTTTAAATGACAGTACTTGAAATTAGCAAACCATTGTGTTTAAATTAGGAGGAAATTTTATAGCCTTAAACATTTCTTAATGTTGATAATAGTTTTAATGAAGTGCTAATGGGTGGATGTAAGCATGCACAATGCTCATGTATTAAACAAATATAATTACTCCCCAAAATGGACTTTTGAGGCTTGTTATGTTCTTTAATCTGCTTTTTAACAAAAGGCAACTCTAAAAGAATATTTTTGCATTATTATAATTTTTCTATGCTAATAATGCTTAAACACATGAATGTAATTTTTGGTAAAGACAACTTGATGTATTTAGTCATGATTATATTCAAAATGGGATTCAATTAATGTAGTTTTATATATAATATTATAAAAACAAATACAATATAAGGATAGGTGCTGAAAATTGGCCTCAGATAATATTTTCTTCCTTTCTTTCTCTCTCTGTCTCTCTCTCTTTTATCTCGCACATGAATCATAAAGATTTTTCATGACTGGAATATTCCACTGCAAATTAAAAGTAAATGCAAATAAAACAAGCTTATAGATGTAAAAATACATCGTGTTTCATATAAACCTCAAATTTTTATTATAAATTTTATTTATATTCTGTTTTCTTTGTATTTCAGTATCCTTATTTACTAGTCTTTCCAAAGTATTTATAAAAGAAAAATTATTATATTATCAGATCTCATTGTGAAAAGTAACTGCTTGTTGATTTTTAAGGAATTACCTGTAGTTCTAAACAAATACATTGGAAAGCGGTAAATATCTTTAGGAATAGCTTGTGCAATATGGGAAAACAGAGAGAGACTCTTACAGTCTAGATACATTCTTTTGACTTGGTTACTGAATCTGTATTTGTGTGTGTGAGAATCTCTTTTAGTAATATCCATGAAATTGATATTGTGAGAATTCAAGACACTACTATTTAACAATAGTTATTTTTTTAGTTGACTGAAAATGCGGTGATGCTTGGCTACATTATATAACAGCTTAATATAAACTTGCCTACACCTAAATCTTTTTATATACCACCTTTATTGTCAGTATAGCAAAGACAGACAGTGTAGTACAATGTGAAGACAAAGCTAGGGGAGCAGGATTGGAACCTTGGCCAGGCATATACCTTGGCAAGTTAAATAAAACCCAATACTCTCAGCATCTGTTTCATTAACACTAAAATGTTGATAAGGCTTTCTTTTTTATACAATTATTGTTAATGTTAAATTAGATATTGTATAAAGTAGTTATTGGAGAAGCTGTCACATAGTTCTTGATATTGAGATTGCATCAGTAACATAAAAAGTAATAATACTTTTTGTTCTATCTAGTGCAAGACCTATGCATGTGTGCTAGAAAGTCATCTAATGGGACTCACGATTGACTTCAGCACAGGATTTATCTGCTTTGATGCTGCAACAAAGGTAATGCGTTCAGGTCAGCTCTGAGAAATATGCTGCAAACATTCTAATCCAGGAATAATTTAAATACCTCATAACTCTTTTCAGCATTTTAATTGTCATCATGTCAAATTTAAGATCCTCATTTTTGTTAATGGAAGTTAAATTATGCTTCAATTAACAAAAGTTTGAATTTTTAATAAAACAAATGTAGTATCACAAAACTATAACTATGTGAAAGTATATCTATCTATGTATCTATGTAGCTAGCTAGCTGGCTATCATCATTTTACCTTTTCTTAAATATATGACTTTATAATTGAAGGAACATTTTCTTTCCCAAAAAGCAATTTTTAAAAAAATGTTTATTTATACTTTATCTGCATCAACTTCTGCAAGATGAAAATAAGGAAAAAAAGGTTTTTTATTAATTTTTTTTGAAGAATTATAGCTGACATGTTAGAATTATTGAATGGTGAAAATGTAAAGTTTAGTTTCTAGCTAGGGAGTATAACTTGTATAAACATTTTACTTAATAAGCATTATGCTCTATGAGGTGTTCTTTTCCCTAAGTATATATCTCTAGGAGTGATGCACATTGAACGACAAAGGGTGACTACTCAGCCAGTCATACCTAAAAAAATCCACCTTTGATGACTATGGATGGAAAATGGCAAAGCCAAATGCACATTATTATCATTATTTTTAATTGGAAGTAATCGTAAAGTTCAACTGACCCCCATTCAACTGCTCATCTGCTTACAGTCACTGCTACAGTTTGTGACTTGGGGCTCTTGACATCATGGAAGACATTCTCTTCCCTCTCATTTGGACATTGATTCTTTAGATCCATTCCATTTTCCCCTTCATCAAAGTGGGGCTTGACTATATATTGATTTGTTCCTTCTCACTAATTTTAGGGATTCATGAGCAATCCTTTACCAGAACACAAATATTTTACCTAGAAATTAAGTATTGTGTAGGATTTTCTAAAGCAAATGCCAACAAAATCAAACAGTTATACAAATGTGTAAGAAAGATGGACTCTAGGAGACAGTCGGGGGTGCTTGATTTGTGAAAGATGAACATCTAATGGTGGGGTCCAGGTAGGATGCTGCCCTGTGCTCATTCGCCTTGGGAATCTTCATGATCCTGCAGCTGGCATTGTCCTACAATATCTCACATTATTTGAAGATTGTTAATATTTATTTTTAACATTGTAAAATTAGCACACATTTGCCAGTGAGATTTGGCTATCTAATGTGTTGCATTTGCATCATGACAAAAGAATACTTTGTGAATAAGGAGTTTTAAATGCCAGTAACTCTTGAAAACTCTCAAATGAGACTGCCATGCACTAGTCTTATTACTAAAATTTTTTTTTATTTGAATACTCATCAAATCAAGATAGGCTCCTGAGTGTTAAATTAGTTGGATAAATTAACTAACTGAATTATTAAATAGTTAAATAAGTAATAAATTAATTTTATAAATAAACTTAGTAACAAATTATACCTTTGGGAAGCTGAGGAGGGCGGATCACGATGTCAAGAGATCAAGACCATCCTGGCCAACGTGGTGAAGACCCGTTTCTACTAAAAAAATACAAAAATTAGCTGGGCGTGGTGGTGTGAGCCTGAGGCAGGAGAATTGCTTGAACCCGGGAGGCAGAGGTTGCAGTGAGCCGAGACCAATGACTGCACTCCAGCCTGGTGCCTGACGACAGAGTGAGACTCTGTCTCAAAAAAAATAAATAAATAAACAACAACAACAACAAAAAATAAATAATTACACTCACTAGAAAAGTCAAAGTCTGATTTAAAAAGAAAATATAATTCCCAGAATTGTCACCAAACTCTATTACATGAATGTGAAAGAATCTTACATTATCAAATGAGAAAAATAAAATTCACATGAATATAATTCTGAGTATATTAATCCATTCTGAGTTTATTTTAAGGCTAGCTATGTTAGTGTTCCGTTGGCTGTGCATAAGGGAGAAAATCATGACACCAATGTCCTATCCGACATTCCTGTCTACTTCTGCTGGATGTTCTGGGAATGAGTGAATAGTCAGGAGTGTCTAAGTGAATGATTACGATACCATTTGGGGCAAACAGTTTAGTAGGAAATGAGAGTTTAATTGGTCCAAGCTTGATATTCAGGAAACACCAGAGGCCTTCAGGAATACTAGTCACTGTCCTATTTTCTGATTATATCATCGGAAGCATCTACCTTCAAGGGAATCTGAGAATTGGGAGAGGCTAAAAGGAATCTATACATATTAATGAAGAAGGTTATAATGTCCATCACAGATTATGACTCTTGGAGGATGTAAGTAGGAGCTATTAATAGTTCTATCAGACATAAAGAGGAGGGCAGGTATAAATGGAGATTCCTGGGCAAATCACTGAGCTGGGGCTTTCTGCAAGAAACTTGCACCCCTTCATCAGATGAACCTGGAAGTTATTTTTAAATATGACGAAAAAGATAATTGTTACATACAAATCAAAGCATGTTTTTTAAATGTTTTATTAAAATAGTTAATATCTAGTTATTTTCTATCTGTTTTCTGCTAAGTGATATGAATGTGAAAAATATCCTTAACACTATATGTAGCATGGGTTTTAAATATTTGGATTCAGAAGGGTTTATCCTTTAGCTGAACGTGCTTTGTCCTTGTGCGCTTCATCTTGATCAAGTCCCCCAACATTGAAGTTACCACAGAGGCAAACCAAAGGTCTTGTGATGAAGTAGAGATTCCAGGAAAGGGGTGGACTCTATTCTGGGTCATTAATTGAGCTCCATATAAAGCAGATAATGTATTGTTAATACACTGACAATGAAGGAAAGAATTGCTGCATCTCTTATGTCAGGGAATGAGAGTCAGCATGATTTTATATTACACTGGAACGCTAAAAGTTTGGATACAGAAGGATGTCTGGGAATGTCAAGCTAATTCTCATTGCTTATGACCTGTGCTTGGAAGTTCCCAGAGAAAGTGATTACCCTTGACTTGCCAGAGCACAAGACTTATTAAATAGCATTCAGTTTCATATACTTACATTTACATTAGCAGCATATCAGGAGGCAATGCATTTGTCAGTTCCCTTATAGTTGTTAGGTGATTTCCTCACAAGTTCATTACTGTACAGCTCAGCTTGTTCTTTGTAATTCTAACCCTTATTAATATGTAGCCTGTTCAGTGTTAGAAAAGGGCATTCTTATTATTATGTCAAAGTATAATGTTAACTGTACTTAAATAATTTACATAGCTAAAAGCATGGTCTTGTATCCATTATATTGTATTAAATATGTATATGTGCATTAATTAATTATATCTAGTTATAGAGTCCCTAGTTAAGCAGAAGCCTCAGCAGTGGCATCTACAAAACACTCATTCAATTTGTAAATAAATCTTCATTGAATGCCTGCTGTCTCTTGAGAGACATGGGAGGACATATATGTCAGTCTTCACAGATGTTTCCTTTAAATTGAGACAAGAAAGGGGAAACTATCCGGACAGGTATCTGTAAGTGAGGAAGGACATGGAATTTGAGGGCAGAGGAGATGAGGGATCATGTATGTGGGTATCTAAGAGCCAAATTTGGAAAAAAGATCAAATTAAGAAATTTGGATGTGATTCTAAGAACAGGAGAATACTTTTAGTGTTTGAGGCATAGGAAAGAAATGGTCAGATGTGTGTTTGACAATAGAAAACTAATGGAATAAGATATAATTGAAATTTAGACAATCTGGGCAAAACCCAGATTCCAAGTGGTTTTTTAGATTCTTTTAAAAATTTTTAAAATTTTTTTATTATACCTTAAGTTCTGTGATACATGTGCAGAACATGCAGGTTTTTTACATAGGTATGCGTGTGCCATGGTGGTTTGCTGCACCTGTCAACCCGCCATTTAGGTTTTAAACCCTGACGGTATTAGGTATTTGTCCTAATGCTGTCCCACCCCTTGCCCCCACTCCTCAACAGGCCCATGTGTTCTCATTGTTCAGTTCCCATTTATGAGTGAGAATATGTGGTGTTTTGTTTTCTGTTCCTGTGTTAGTCTACTGAGAATGATGGTTTCCAGCCTCATCCATGTCCCTGCAAAGGACATGAACTCATCCTTTTTTTAGATTGCTTAGTATTCCATGGTGTATATGTGCCACATTTTCTTTATCCAGTCTATCATTGATGGGCATTTGGGTTGATTGCAAGTCTTTGCTCTTGTAAATAGTACTGCAATAAACATTTGTGTGCATATGTCTTTATAGTAGAATGATTTCTAATCCTTTGGGCATATACCCAGTAATGGGATTGCTGGGTCAAATGATATTTCTAGTTCTAGATCCTTGAAGAATCACCACACTGTGTTCCACAATGGTTAACTAATTTACACTCCCACCAATAGTATAAAAGCATTCCTATTTCTCTGCATCCTCACCAGCATCTGTTGTTTCCTAACTTTTTAGTTATCATCATTCTAACTGATGTAATGTGGTATCTCAATGTGGTTTTGATTTGCATTTCTCTAATGACCAGTGATTGTGAGCTTTTTTTTCATGTTTGTTGGCTACATAAATGTCTTCTTTTGAGAAGTGTCTATTCATATCCTTTGCCCACTTTTTGATGCGAATTTTTTTTTTCTTGTAAATTTAAGTTCACTCTGGCAACCTACCGAATGGGAGAAAGTTTTTGCAATCTGTCCATCTGACAAAGGTCTAATATCTAGTTTCTTTTGCTGTGCAGAAGCCCTTTACTATAATGAGATTACGTTTATCAATTTTGGCTTTTGTTGCAATTGCATTTGGTGTTTTAGTCATAAAGTCAATGCCCATGCCTATGTCTTGAATGGTATTGCCTAGATCTCCTTCTAAAGTTTTTATAGTTTTAAGTCTTAGATTTAAGTCTTTAATCCATCTTGAGTTGATTTTTGTATAAGGTATAAGGAAGGGGTCCAGATTCAGTGTTCTGCGTATGGCTAGCCAGTTTTCCCAACACCATTTATTAAATAGGGAATCCT